TTCTGTGTGTGCTTTGCTGACAGCACAGACTGACAAGGACAACTGCATAATTGATTAAGTAGTTCCCTGGACCTTGCCTTGAATGAGATTCAAGTTGAGGTTTTTTATTTTGTTTTAAAGTGCAAGCCTGAGCTAATTGTACTGCTGCTGTTTTCAGTCACAGAACAGGTCAGGCTGGAGGGGACCACAGTGGATCATCAGGTCCAACCTCCCTGCTCAAGCAGGGTCATCCCAGAGTACATGGCACAGGATTGTGTCCAGACAGTTCTTGACTATCTCTAGTGAGGGAAAATCCACTCCCTCTCTGGGCAATCTGTTCCAATGCTCGGTCAAATGTGGAAACCGGATCTCTTGGTGAGCAGCAGTATGCTGTTTACTGTTCATGGGTCTGGCATAAAAGTCATCATTGTTACCTTGCCAGAAATTCACTGCTGAATGGTTCTACCTTGGGTTGTCAAGGGAGAAAACAGAATTGAGCAAAGCAGAAGGAAATTGTACCTCGATACTCTCCCCTGGTAGACTCACCAGTACTATGCATTGGAACTAACAATTTGGAGATGTATTTCCATTGATCAGAACTGGGTTTGGGTTTTTGTCTAAGGCAAATCCTTTGTTTCTGTGCTAGCAAGTACTGCAGTAGTATGAAAATAAAGGGAGACTGTACTTAAGCATACTGGTGTATAGTCCAAAGTGTATACCTTCAGGAAATCATCTATGCATGTTTGACCCAAACAATGAGACTAAAACTGACATGGGTAGCTCTGCAGGACTATTCTAATGATAACTATTTTTTGATGGTGCTAACCAGAATTGCAGTGATGCTGTATGTTTTAACCTGCTTTCTGAGACTGAGTTTTGTACCTCCACCATGGAGTGGGGTTTGGGTTTATCTTCCATGAGTGACCAAATCAACCATCATGTTCACCACTGTCAGTTTTTCATGGCATACCTCTGTCAGTAAGATAAGGTTGTTAAAAGCACAATATTAGTTATGGGATTGCATTGTAGGATAAAAAATGGCAGAAATGAGACACATACACATTTCATAGCTATAATAATCTTATTCCATAAGCTTCATACTGAAGAAAAACATACCATCCAAGATTGAGTTATGGACCCTTCATCTTGTGTAGCAATGGTATTAACTACTTTTTTTGGGCAAAGACTTGAATCTCATGCTGACACTGCAGTTCTGTGTGCTCAGGAAAACAGTGGGTGAGCCAAAGGCAATGCTGTTTTTTTAGCCCTGAAGAAAAATAAATTGCTCCAAAGTTACTTATAAATCCGTATGATCACATGGATATTTTCTAAATCACTTAAAGAAACAAAAGCAGAAGGATTTCTGGTTTTCTCAGTCTGTCTGCTCCTGCTGACACCTCTGTATCATATAGTAACTTTCATAATCTTGCCAAACTGTGTCTTAAAAAGCGGAGCCTCACGAACTTATAGTAATGCTTCTTTCTTTTTAAAACCACAATTGCTTTTTAACTGAATCCATGTAAAGGGAACAAAACTACTGTAATTGCAAGATGCATTGGGGAGAAAAGTGCTGCAGATGTGTTGGTTGACAGGAAGCTCAATATGACCTGGCAGTGTGCGCTTGCAGCCCAGAAAGCCAACTGTTACCCTGGGCTGCATCCAAAGCAGCATGGGCAGCAGGTTGAGGGAGGTAATTCTTCTCCTCTGCTCTGGTCAGACCCCACCTGGAATGCTGCATCCTACTCTGGGGTCCTCAGAAAGACATGACTTGTTCTAGCAGGTCACTGAGGAGGCCACAGAGACAATCACAGGGCTAGAATGCCTCTCCTGTGAGGACAGGCTGAGAGAGTTGGAGTTCTTCAGCCTGGAGAACAGAAGGCTTCAGGGTGACCCTGTAGCAGACTTTCCATACATAAAGTGCCTACAGGAGAGCTGAGAGAGACTCTGTACAAACACATGCAGTGACAGCACAAGGGGGAATGGTAGTGGTAGAGAGAGAGTAGGTTTAGATGAGATATTAGGAGGAAGTTCTTTACTGTGAGGGTGGTGAGACACTGGCACAGGTTGCCTAGAGAAGCTGTGGCTGCCCCAACCCTGGCAGTGTTCAAGGCCAGGCTGAACAGAGCTCTGAGCAACCTGGTCTAATGGAAGGTGTTCCTGTGCATGGCAGGGGAGTTGGAGCTAGGTGATCTATAAGGTTTCTTCAAGCCCAGATCAAACTGATTCTGTGATGTCTCAATAAATTCTTGGAGAGAGTTAACAGAGCTGAGCAGCTGTTTGCATAACTAAGTTACAAGGTTGTTTGTTTATTAGCAGGATTTAATTAAAATCCTGAGGTTTTTTACTTCCTCTGATTAAGCATGTGCAAAATACAGTAAATCCTTTCACAGTAGTTTTTGTTGTAGCTAAGATCTGCAACTTCCAGACATTGGTAAACTATATCTTATATGTAATACAGTTGTAGCTGTGTTCTCAGTCTTGGAGGCTGATTACCTGGTGCTGTGAGTTTTAGTTGCTCTGTTGCAGATATCTGTCTTTTTCTAGAATAGGTATCACTATATATTTTTGTCTATAAATGGAAAAAAACCTCTACACCTTTCACTCTGCTCCACTTATTTCTCTTCATTTTTTTCCTTTTTTTCCTCCACTGAGTTACTAACATTCTCTCTCTAAAGAGAGACTTTTTTCCTTGGATGTTTATCTGGACTTGCTGGTTTGACAGCTGTATTCTACATTACCTTTTTCTTTTCTTTCTGCTTTCTTTGCTTCCTCATACTGTTTCTTCTTCAGTGTACAGTATTTACCCACTAGGCAGAGTTAGCCTCCCTATCCACGGCAGGATGGTTCCAGAATAATCTTAAAGGCTCATCACTGTGCTGGAAAAAATCCACAACAGTCCTACTGTTGCTGAATTAGAGAAGTTTCGGAAAGCTGAGGTGTAGCTTTCACTTTGGGTCATCATCTCATTTAGGTCTTGGGGAATGACTCAATTTTGTATGTAAGTAGGAAGGACAGCAATTTGAGAAGGCACATGTGTGTATTTTCAAAAGCAATTAGGGTGTAATGTTTTTTTGGTGCCCTGGACTGAAGATGTCAGAAAAATGTTTTTCTAAGAAGACTGAGAATCAGAAGTGCGAAGAATCCAGTGCAAGGTATCAAATGCTGCTCTGGGCACACAGTTCATATCACTGGAGATGGTCCACTGAACGCCAGCATCAGCTTCAGCTCATGGTGAATACCTCTTGTGGCTCAGCAAGCTCCTCCTGCTTATCTGTACAACCCATTTTCTGGAAGACACATCCCGGGAAATATATTCTACAGGAAAAGCTGACTGGCTCAGGTGAAAACCATATTTGCCTGGAGTACAGAGTCTTTGTTCTTCCTAGTCATCTCTTTTGGAGAGGACAAATGTTGTGGCACTTTGCCTTAGTGTGTATATCTATTTAGTCTATAAAATGTCACTAGCAAGGAAGACTTTTGAGACCTTTGGCATGGAGCTGCATGAACATGCAACACAGGATGGAGCTGGGAAACTTGTCAGGAACATGATTCTCCTCAATGAAGCAGCTTTTATACTGCAAAATACAGTTCTCTTAATGACCCTTGCTCTATGCAGTTTTGTGTGATATTGTGTCAGATTTATGGCTGTTGGTTTCCTAAAGAGCTGTTTGGGTAGTCTGTGCTCCAGTCAAACAACTTTCATATGTCCTGTAACAAATCCAAAAGTGTAATGGAGTAGGATATTTGTCTTGAGTTTTAATGTGTAACAAAATGATGTAGTGAGCTTTTTTTCTTCTCCATAATGGGGTAAAAACTGGCTTGTATTCAACTTGGATTCAAGTTTTCTGGTTTCTGAAGTCACCCCTGTGGAGGTGATGTTAGGTTTGTGATGCTGTCTCGCTTACAATGATGCTGCCTTATTGACAGTAAGCAAAGTGAACTAGTGTCTTCAGCTTTGTTCTTGCACATTTGTATTGATACTAATGTCCAAAAAGCATCAGAGATTGCTTAAGCAAACAAAAAAGAAAAAAACACAGGGAAGAGCTAAGTAGATTTAAAGCTCTTGTAATGTGATTTAGCTGCTAGAAAGAGGAACAGTGTCACAGGGCCAAAACACTTAGACCACCAATGTGAAGGAACTTCTGGTCCAGTGATTAGGACACTAATCTTTCTCAGGAGTGCTTTGGAAGTAATATCTCTTGGCTACTCAGTATAAACACACTGAACAACATGGTTTCGTGTCTGTTATTGGCCTTCTGAACTGGTTATGTATTTAATTCATTACTGTTTTCTGTCTAGTACTGTATCTACTGCATCTTAAGCCTCAAGCGCATAACTAGTTTACCACCTTGGAGGATTTATTCACTGCCACTAACAAGAAATCACGTTTCAGCCAGCTTACTGCCAGGCAGACCTCAAATGCATAAAGTGCCTTGGGCTTTCCAACAGAAAGCCTCACTCCTTCCTCTGGCACTGGCACTGTGTTCCATGGGTGAGAATGGAGAGCTCCCATGTGTTGGATGATCTGCAGGAGTGCTCTGTACTGAGATGAGCATTGCTGTGAGCTTGTGCTGCAGAGCACATCAGCTGCAGAAACAGCCTCACCCAGCACATTGCTGTCCTTGATGCTCTTGAGGTTTAGCACTGGCACAGGTATCAGGATTTTTTAATGAAAAATCAGTAACACACAGCACTGTGTGTTTTCTTCTAATTTTCAGCTTAAACTACTGTTTATTCAAAAGCTTAGTGCTGTTCAAAGTACTAGAGTTAAACTCCTTAGTGGGTATATACTTCAAAGCATGTTGTTTGGTTATTGATGGGTCATGATCACATAGTGCAGATATGATTCTCTAGTCATTTTGTTCTGCCATATGGATGCATAAGAGAATTTTCTCCTTAGCCCTTGCCCTTTTCTCTTATGGTTACATGGTTGTAGCAACATTAGAAGCATAATGGTTGTAGTCAAAAGGTGTCACCTACCTTAAAACCCAAATAACAGCGTTTCTCAAATGTCTCTGCAGATGGATGGAGGTTTGCTTGGATGAAGAGCTGCCCCCGACTACGGAACTGGAAGAAGGCTTAAGAAATGGTGTTTACCTTGCCAAGCTTGCAAAATTCTTTGCACCTAATGTGGTGTCAGACAAAAAGATCTACGATGTGGAGCAGGCACGCTACAAGGTAATAACTTACTCAGTTCTCTCACCAAGAAGATCAAAAACTAGAAAAAGTAATGTTTGTCTTCCAACTCTTAAACCCAAGTATGGTAGGTTAATTTTGTGTCTCTCTTGTTAAGACTATTGGCACTTGATGAAGACACATATCAGCAAGAAGCCATCATGATAAGTTAGAAATATTTTACCCTTAGGAAAACTATGTTAGTGTCACCTCAAGTTTTTAAAGCTGAACAAATTACACTCCTGGCTTCAGGGAGAACATGGGCTTTACCGTTTATAAATCTATTTGTCATTAGGAATAGGAGTTAAAAGCAATTTGGTAACAATTCCAAACTCTCCTCGTCTTGTATGGGAGGATATTTAACATTTACTTCATTAGATCTGTGTTTATTTTATCAACCTCAACACTGAGAAGCAAAACCCAAGCTGCCAGTAATTAAGCTCAGGTGTAAGATGTTGATTAACTCCAAAATCCTTGATAATATAGGAATATAGACATTCACATACAGTAGTCCCACTATGGAATGCAGTTTCTCCACATGTAAAAGGGAGTAGAAAAGATCAGAAATGGACATTTTTAAGGTGCAACAACTGACTGTTGAGAGTTGAGAAATTGTCTAGGTTCCATAGGGTTAACAGAACCATGGTTAGGAGTCTTGGTTACATTTAAACGCTGCTTTCCAAAGCTGGAGTTCAGGCTTCATTTCTCCCTTTACTCTAAAAGATAACATAAAGAATAAAATAGAGATACTTGCTGCTTGCATAGGCTGCAGGGACGGTCAGGTATTCAGGGAGGTCTAGAGAGTGATTGAGACCTCCTTATCTGTTCTCCTTCATGGTGGTGCTGAGCAATGTCACCACTCCTGTATTTTGGAGGTCATGGTTCTTGGTATTCAACATCTAGCCTTAACTCCCAAAGGCTACTGAAGGGCTGTACAAATGGCCACTTCAGTCACAGTCTACCACAATGGGTAAAAATCCAGCTTATATGGCATGAAAGAATGAGCTGGACAGCATGGAGCTGTCGATGTGCTGGGATGCTTCAAGAGCAGGATTAAGGCTCCAGGTTCAAACAAGGGAAAATTCCCTGAACTCAACTTCAGGATATAAAACTGGGAAGGAACAGGAGGATCAATAATTAGGGAAATTGCTTAATGTGATTGTTATAATCTTCTCCTTCTGTTTCTAACAGAGATCAGGCCTTCATTTTCGGCACACTGACAACACTGTGCAGTGGTTGAGAGCAATGGAGTCCATTGGTCTGCCTAAGGTAAGTCTGTAAATTTTAGCAAAGAAAGTGGCTCAGGTCACTGACTCAGAGGTCTCCCTTTCATCTGCTTGAGCATAAACTGTTCCTTACAGCAAGTTTAGAGGGAAGGGGTAATCCAGAAAACAAATCTGAATAGAAGGTAAAGTGGAAAGCAGTGGGAGTGTCAGTTCTGTGTTGCTGCTGCAGGTGTGTGTGGGCTGGGACTGCTGTGGGTGAGTGTTGTGGGTGGAAATGCACAGGGTACTTCTCCTGTGGGAATGCAAATGGGGACACCAACAGTGTTTCAGTCATATCTTGCTGCTAGTGCAGTCACTGTTGGGAGCCTGAAAGGAATATGGTTTAAAACAGGAAACTTAAGTATTTGCTTCCTTTAGGCTACCTTTTCTCATCATGTCTCTTGCTGCCTCTTCCTCTTAATGTACATCCCAAGTTTCTCTGCCTCTACCCTGTTTCCAGACTGTTCTTGCACCCTCCAGTGCCTCTGCGTGGCTATGCTGCTGCTCTTCTACCAGCTGCTTTCTTGGGTCACTTCTTATATTCATCCTCTTCCTTGTGGGTCTTCGCTTGTCATCTCCCCAATCTGCTGCTGTTTCTGGGCACCAGTGAGTCTATTTTGGATGAACATCCTTTAAGAAAGGCTGTACAGAAACATCTGTGCTGCTTGTTTGGACATTTTGACACCGACGTACAGCCTGGAGTGAGCACTTCCTTGCCCAGGCTGCTCAGCAGCTATGCCAGGGTGCCTGGGTGATGGCAGCCCTGGTGCTGCCTGATGTGCTGTGGTTGGGCACAGTGGAGATGCTCAGAGAGCTACCTGAAGGGCTACATGAGCCACAGTGGACAGTCACTGTGGGCAAACTCAGTGAAGGAGCTCATAAGCAGAAAAGGGCACCAGTGACTGCTATCTGAAATGCCATAGAGGATGGGAAGAGTCCTCCCTTTCCCAGCTCAGGCTTCTTTTTTTCCCCACTTGAGTCCTTGAGCCCTCTGTTCAGCTGTCTGATTTCCACCCTGTCACCCTCCTCTGAAAGGTCTCGTTTCTCTTGTGGAGGATGGTCATGGCCAAAAGCTTTCCCGATTCACCCTCACAAAGCTGTTGTGAGCAAATGATGAAGAGGGCACTGTGCTCCTAACTTAGTCTTGTCCTATTAACCATGGGACAGGGCAGCCCCGAGTGCCCGGCCTGGACTGGAAGCATGCTGCCAACTCTCACGGTTAACTAAGTCTTTCATTATATTTTTGTGGAGAAACAGTGTTTAGTGACTGGGATCAAGGCCAGGAACAAATTAGTGGTAGAACCAGAATTGGAACTTATGATGTGACTTTTTGGCTAAATTGCTTAATATGCCTCTCTCTGAATATCTCTCACTGTAAATGATGTATTCACAAAGTTAGTGTTGCTGGCAATTAAAGTTTTGCATTTTAAAAGCATACTTGATAGGCTTGGTTTGCAGTGAGGCTTTGCAAATTGTAACTGCTTTCCAGGTTTAGGGTGGCTGAAGGAAAAGCACTACTGGCAGAGCTTATGCCAAAGGACCTTTTCTGAAAATCCTGTTGAAATGCTGTCTGCTTATCTTCCTTTTTCCTCCCTCTTATTAAGCAGCTTTTATGCTTTATTAAGTTCTTCCTTATAAAAACTAGTGATAAAGTTAAAATAACACCAGAATAGACTTGATTCATAACTGTATAGAAGTAACAGCAGAAATTCCGTAAGTTTAAGGTGCAATTCTGCAGAGTAAACTTCTCTGCTCAGTAATGTCTTCTCCTTTAACTGTGTGCTCTTTGCTTTTTAGATCTTTTATCCAGAGACTACAGATGTCTACGATAGGAAAAACATCCCTAGGATGATATATTGCATTCACGCTCTAAGGTAACTGGTGATGGGAATAAAACTTATAATAGCTGCCAAATCTAGGAGTGAGTCTTGCAATGGCTGTAGGGCAACTAGTATATCAAAATCTGACATACAAGTTCATTAATTTTGAGTTCAAGACAAAAGTTTGGCTTTCTCATGACTATTGGCCAAGTTATTTCCAAAACAGAAATTAAGGACTACTGAATTTAGCACAGACACCCCTGTCTCAATAGTACAACCTCTCACAAAGTGCACAAACAAGTTCAAAGCACGTACTTTAACGGAAATCAAACAACTTAGCAGACACTTAGCAAAATGTTAGTATAACCGTGCTGCTCTGAGTGAAAATGGTGATGAGCGGGTATCTCTCTGTCCCAAAAGTGAAGCAAACAATTACTGTATTCTGAGGTAATTCATGTAAAAATTAACATTTTCCAAGATTGCAAAATTCTAAGCAACTTAATTTTGAACGTCAAGTCAGGGAGGTTTTGATCACACCATTAAAGTAGAGCTTAACACTTTTTTTCATGTCCTGCCTTAAGGATTTTCTTGATGTTTAGCACAAAAACATCTGCCTTGTGCTGTCCCTGGTGCGAGGGACAGTGGTGTTGGCAGACAGCTTCTCCCTCCTGTGGCTCTCCTAGTTCATTTCCTGCACATGGAGACCTTTCCCTTTCATTACTTTCATGCAACTAGGCTTTCAGGGGACATAATTAACTTACGCCTCAAACTCTCTTCGGTGTTCCTAATGGTGTTCAAAGGCACATCAGCTGCTCCAGGCCTACAGGTCAGAAACTATTCAATACATGCCTAATTGAAACTTTTTCAGGTCTAATTCTTGAAATGACATGGCCACTCTTGCAGTCTGGTATGTGCACTCACTCCTAATAAATAGAGCATGCCACTAATGTCCGTTGTATTTCTTTTACATGCTAGAGGTTTGCAGTTGACAGCCTGCTATTTTTTGTCATCTTGGACAAGTATTGTCCCCTGGAGTTATTACATCTGGTGTAATATTAACGAGGTAGTATCACCAGGACTACTTGAAGATGGTTCTTGCCTATAACTTGGTAGTGCAGTCTGTTCTGATATTGTCTTGTGTAAGTTTGAAGTGATTTCCTAAAGAATATGCATGGAACTATAATGTTAACCAGCTCAGGATGACAGAGTGGCTGTGTCCCCCCCTCTCATGTTACGGACCAGCTCAAATGTTTTACAGGAGGTAGAAAACCAGTTTTTCTGATATTTGCTTCCTCAGGTATGAAGGACTTTGTCAACTGTGTATTTGAATGCTACGTAAGCAGTAACTCCAATAACTTATCATTGCAATGGCAATAACTCTTCTGTCTTAACTGATTTCTGCAATGCATTAACCTTTGATAGAAGCTTTCCTTTCTCCATCTTGACATACCCCAGGATTTATGATAGTATCAGAACTAATTTATGTTGTCTCAAGACTCTGTCTTGTTTAAATTACCTTTCCTTGCTGCATATCAACACAAAGCTCTAACTCTGTGCTTAGTATTCTTTTATTTTAGAGCTATTATTTTAGAAATGGACTTTATATCAAGTATGTTATGCCACAGTGAAGGGGAACAGACCTGTAATGCTTTCACTTACGATGCTGTCCCATGATTTTGTAGACCCCTGTGCAGGATGTAATAGGAGCAATGATTCAGCTTCACTTATTTCTGCATCTTTTCCTAAAATGCATGCTCTAAGTCCTCCACTGGAGTGTTTCAAATCAAACTCCAATGTCAGTATTGGATGGCACACAGACTGTATAGAAAGCTGTCTGGGAAATAGTAGCATTATGGACAGGGCACTTGCTTGGGCAGCAGTTGGGTTGGCATCAGAGGAATGCAGAGCTGTAAGAGTGTAGTTCTGTTCCCCTTCTGCTGATGTTGTAAGTACCAACATCCTGGTGTCTCCACCAAAAGCTCCATACCATATGCCCCATATGCTCTGCTTTCTGGGCTTGTTGTAGCATCCTCTCCAGGGAAATCAGTACAGGATTTGCTGACCTTGGAAAGGTCCATGTCCCTGTTGTTCTTAGTCCAACACCACAGCACTGAGAAACAGCAATTGCACACAGGGTTTCACCTTTGCAGTGGTAGGATAGGCACATGACCACTATATAAAGAATCCCCATTGGGTTTAAATACTAAATTTTGATGCATCTTGGAGCACATGCTGAAAATACAAAGGCTCATAACTTGGATAAATGGAGCACTTCCTCAGAGAGGTGAGGGGTTGATCTGCTTCTGAGTTTTTCTTAGTTGTTATTAAGTCTTTACTCTAAAGCAACATTGATTCTTGAGCTTTTCAACAAAACTGTGTAAATTTAACACAAGGTATTTTCTTATTCTCATTCTTGGAAATACTGAAGCCATCTATACTTCAGGTTTTTTTCCTATATGAATTCATTTATGCATAGTCAGTGTGATAATTTAAGTGTCTTAAACTGATAGGATGATTTTTAACTGCCCCTCCAAGAGGCATGAAATAGCCTTAACTAGGTAATAGGAGCAAAAAGCTCCATCTTTCCAAAGAGTCTATTGGACAACTGAAATATGAACATTTTGTGGGGAAAGTCATTGGTTATTTGGTGTTTTGCTGATCTTTGAGCTGCTGGAGGGCCTGAAGGTAGACAATGATTCTAAACATGATGGATTAAAAATTATTTTAGCATGTGTCCTGGTTCAAGTCTGAAATGAAGACCACTGCACTTACAGCATGTGGGATGACTTGTGCTGTCAAACACAGCACTGTTCTGGCCAGGAAGGAGTGACTTAGCAAAATATTTTCTAGACTCCTGTTGAATATAATTACCTTCTTGCTTTTCTCTTGTTGAAGCATCAATACTTTAAAGCCCAGCTTGAAAGAAAGGTTTCATTTCTTGCACCGTTTTTCTTGTTAAATCTGATTTGGATTTGTTCCTGGACTAAATGAGGTTAAGAACAGCTTCAGAAAAATTTAGTTTTCAAATCATCTTTGCAAGCAGATCTCTGCTACATCCTAGACAAACTCTCCCTCTGAAGCCAGGCTGCTTCAAAACATTGTTCTCCTAGGAAGCAGTAGAGTAACAAGCATGCCTTGAAAGAAAAAGCATGCTTTTTTCCAGATCTGCTATTTTTATGGCATGTCATATACGAGTTAAGCATAAAACAAGACCCAGGAACCTCTGCCTGATATGAACTGCAGCTCTGTGTGGGTGATGCTTGCTATCGAAGGGAGCTTCACCTGGGAATGCTCTTTCCCCTTTGTTTCTCCCTTGCTCCTGTTGCCTCTTATCCAGACTTCTTAACCCCAAGGTTAAGACCTTGGGGTCTTAAGCTTTTGACCTTATGTGGGTTCCCTGAGGTTCAAGTTAGACTATAAAACTATTAAGCGAACTGTTTCAAGTGAACTTACACTTAGAAGTGTCTGTGTCCCCTGAAACACTTGAAGCACATTTTCAGCACCACCTGGTGGTTAGTAAGTTCATCCAAACAAAGGCGTGTAGGAGGTATTGCATATGGCTCAATATCCTCCTGAAAGTGCTGAACAGGAAAAGGATTACTCTCTAATGTTCATAACACTTCTTCCTCTGTGTTTTTATTGTGGTGACCCCAAAAAAGAGTCAGCACAGCCCTGTGGTGCTGCTGATCTCCATAACTGTTGCATGACATCCAGTGCTTCAGCCAGGAGTGTGTCCCTGTCTTACAGCTAAATCTCCTTCTACCAGGAAGAGTCCTTCCTGGTAGAAAGGTGAGGGTAACAGAGGAGCCTGTTCACTACTACAGTCGTATGGGAATTTTTCCCGCAATAACTAACTTGGGTCTAAGACAGCTCTGAAAGGTGAGAATGGCAGTGGCAATGATTTTGAGAGGCTGCTGCTGTGTTCATCCAGGTTGTGACAGGGCACAGGAGTAGCTGTGGCAGCATGGAAGACAAATGGTGTTTCTGTGTGCTCTGAAATAAATATGACAACTATAAATACTTGCTGTGAAATCTCATCCAATAATTTGCTAATAAGAAAAACGCTCTCACCAACAAAACATAAAAGGGAAATATGCCCCTCTTAGAAACAAAATCCCTATGTCACAATGCACATTTGCAATGAATGAAGTTGGGGTGAAGTAAGTTGAAGAGGTAGAAAATAATCCTTTTGGAGGAATGCATTATTTAAGTCTTGTTTTTAAAATCGCCCTTTTTGATCCCTTCTTGCTGAACTCACTTGCTTATTGAATTTCACTGATAAATTATAGCAACATCAGTCTTTTGTAGATAAATACATGCCTTGTGTTTGGAAGATATGGAGAAAATATGTATGTACTCAGCTGTTTTGTTCAGATAGCACCCCAGAGCTCTAAGTGTAATAAACACAGGCATTTTTCATGCTATATCGGAGCAAAAATATTAGTCCTTGGATAGCACTTCAAACTGAGCTTTCTTCAGTTCCAAAAAGTCAAATAGCTAATGACACAAATAGATTTGAGGTGGTCTTGGGTAGACTTACAGGTTCTTGTTCTTCTATGCTTAGTAAGAAGGGTTTCAGTGATTTATGTATCTTCAGCTATTAATTACAGGGATGCAATAATTCAAGTCAAAACAGTATAGAGATCCAAAGCTATAAGTTGTACTAAAGTGCATCTCCCCTATGAGGACAGGCTGAGGGAGTTGGGGCTGTTCAGCCTGGAGAAGAGAAGACTCTGTGAAGAACTCAGAGCAACTTTTCACTATCTGAAGGGCCCTCAAGGAGCCGGAGAGGGACTCTCTGTTAGGAACTGCAGTGATAAGACAAGGGAAAATGGGTTCAAACTGAAGGAGAGAAAGTCTAGGTTGGATGTGAGAAAAAAGTTTTTCCTGTGAGGGTGGTGAGACACTGGCACAGGTTCCCCAGGAACGTGGTGGCTGCCCTGACCCTGGCAGTGTTCAAGGCCAGGCTGGATGAGGCCTTGAGCAACCTAATCTAGTGAGGTGTCCCTGCCCATGGCAAAGGGTTGGGACTAGATGATATGTAAGGTCCATTCCAACACCTAAATTCTATGATTCTATGACTTTTTAGCAGTATTAGTTTTTGCATTATTTAACTATCTTCCACTAAGGAAAACAGATTTTGCTTGTTTAGACATCCACTGTGATCCAAAATACACTGACAGTGCCTCTATCAGCTGCTTCTTTGAAAAAAAAAATAAATTCTCTTTCTGTAAGACTTAAAAACACAGCATAGAGAAAATTGAAATTCATTCTGCATCATCCCATGAAAGTAAAGGGTTAAAAGACAAGATTCATAAAAGTGCTTTTCTCTTGTATGGAAAGTGAACACCTCAACCATACACAAGGACTTTAAATTCTCATTTTCTTCTTTGCAGCTTGTATCTGTTCAAGCTAGGATTAGCTCCACAAATCCAGGACCTTCTGGGAAAAGTAGACTTCACAGGTAATAAACTGCTTCTCTAATCATATGAGATGGTTTTTTTCACCCTGTAAATCTGCTAACATTGTACATATTTTCTATTATGGTCTTTCTCCTCCTGCAACATTGTTCTGAACACATCCTAATTAAATAGGTGGGAGGCTGCTATTTTTAATGAATGTCAGTCTCTGAAGGACAGAAGGGAGTGAGTTTGCACGGAATACTTGTCGTATATTAGATTCCTTCAAAGTGGGGAGGAAAACTGCTAAAAAGTCCTCTGACCACACAAGCACTTTCAAAGACACTGCACCTGTGTTTTGGTGTTTCATAATGAAATTTTTATGCTTTTGCTCTGATAATATTTCTCTGTTTTTATGTGATCAGAGGAAGAAATCAGCAACATGCGGAAGGAGCTGGAGAAGTATGGTATACAGATGCCATCTTTTAGCAAGATTGGTGGGATTCTGGCCAGTGAATTATCAGTGGATGAAGCTGCATGTAAGTGTGGCTCGCTCTGTTCCCTACTGGATATTGTGACAGAATGCTAACAAAATATTTTCCATGTTTTAATTCATCTAGTTTGCCATCTCATAATAACTAGGAAGAAAAGCATGCAAGTTTTCACTTACTATCACACTGCTTCACTGTTATGAAACCTCTTGCCATTTTTCAGACTGTGTCTTTTAGTATCTCATTGAACCATAGGAACTGCTACCAGAAGCAGAGATATTTTTGGATGGGTTCAATGTTTTGATAGCTAGTGCTACTCTAGAATAATGAATTGGGCTCTGTGTGTGCGCCTCTGCACTGTATGGTACAATACGGATGACCATGGGAACATGGTGCCTTCTCTATGCCTCCTTCTCTTTTGGGGGGCTTCTGCAGTTTTCCTAGAACACCTGAACAGGTTGCTGTGAGGACAAGTCACTGTTACAGACAAACAACTCTCTGACATATGGTGGTGTACACATGGAGGAACTCCTTGCCTTCATGGGCAGGTTTCAATCTGTCTGACTGCTGGTGTGTGACCCACAGCATGATAGAAACCTGCTGGAGGGGCACATCTTGCTGCTGCATCTGGAGCAAGCTTTTCCTTCTTGGGGAGCTGGATGAACAATTATGGTCCTTTTCAATCTATCTTAGAATCATAGAAAGATTGAGGTTGGGGGAGACCTCTAAAAGCATTAAGTCCAACCATTAACCTGTTACTGCTGTAACCCCTATACTTTAAACTATATCCTCCAGCGTCAGATCCAGAGACCTCTGAAAGACCTCCAGGAATGCTGACTCCATCACCTCCCTGGGCTATGTTCTAATGCCTGACCAGCCTAACAGGGAAAACATTTTACAGACATCTAATTTGTAACTCCCCTATTGTGGCTTATGACCATTCTCCCTAGTCTTCTCTCTGCAGGCATGGCAGAAGAGGACCGATCTTGAACAGCTTCAACTCAAAACCAAAATTAAATGCTTTTTTGTTTTTTTTTTTGGTGCTGCCTATGCCTATTCTGTGGGCTGAGGTTTTTTCTATATCTCTTTTTTTTTCTCTCTTTTTGTGGAATGAAGTGATATAGTTAGAAAAAACAACCGAAGAAAAATTGCTTGCATTTAAATGGTATGAAATCAAATGTCCCCACTTAAATCAACACTTGAGCTCTAGTGCTTTTATTCAAGATCCTAGTCTTTTTCAGAACGGTAAACTGAAGAACAGAAGGCTTAGCTTTAGTATGTTCTTATTGCATCTTTGTTAAAACCTGCTAAGTAGCATAACTGAAACCAGCTAATTTGTGATGTTACTTAGTGTGCTGAAATACACTTCATATTGATTCTTGTTGTTTGTGTTGTAGATTTTGAAGCCTGCTTAATACATGCATGCTTCTCTAAAGCTAGCTCTTAAAATGCTGCTTTTGGAAGCGAGGGGAGTTTGTGTCCTTTCTTCTTGTAGCAGATTTTCAGAGATTTAGTGACTTTTTCAGGGAGCTTCCCTCCC